ATTCTCTGTATTCTGCGCCGGGATTTGAGTTTCTGAGCCTTGCCGTCGATCGCTTTCCAGGAGCTGCATGATATGAACAGGCTGAACACATGTCATCGACAGCGGACTTACGAGAACAATCGACCGAGTCTGGCCTGCATCGGCCCAGGTATATTCTGACCGTAGATTTTCGTGCATTCCTCCATCGCCGTTGTCAGGTCTCCGACTTTCTTCGCCAGGTCGTTGATGCTTTCCGTGTTTGCATGCGATTTCTGGCACCGGTGTGAGAATCATTATCGAGGGAACAGTATATAACACGCACCTGGACCAAATCCAACAAGGTTGAAAGGACGCTGACACCTATCTGCACGCCCGGCACACCAAGATTGCCGGCAACACCGCTGAAAATTCCGAGGGCTTGCTTCAGGGCGCCAGCTGCGGTACTGGCAGCATCCTTTGTCTCGCTACTCTGTAGTGTCTTTTTCAGACGGCGCATGGTCGCTAATATGGTGAGTCAAGGAACGAGTCGGGCCGTGATGGCAGAGACACATATCTCACAGCCTGTAAGCGAAGTCACGGGCCAGAGAAGGCGTGTTCGGCGGGCGCCGATTGGCTACGACGCGCGCTGGAATATGCACGTCTATATTCTAGCCATCGCAGATAATCGAAAACGCGACGGCAAACCAAATTGCTAATTTGTCGTCACTGCAATGTGAGCACTGGAAGATGGACTTACAAACGTGTTCTTGCGTCCCAGTCTCGGTGAGGAATAGGGTTCGTCGGAATACATGATTCCGAAGAAACCTGAATAGTTTACGCCTCTTAAATCTCTATATCGCCTCGATTAATTACCTAAAAATGGAATTCAAAGATTGCGGCTCACAGAATGCTTCATAAACACTCCGAATCTCGACGCCTGTTGTTGAGGAAGTAAAACAAAAGTCGTCTCTGGTAAGCGCCAGGCTATCGGGACCCGGAAAACCCCTCGCCGCGCCGGGTTTGCAGATAAAGCGCTGAACACGTTGACAGGGCCCACGATTGGACGAGCATCCTGTTATGTACGTAGCATTCTCCATAATAAACTCGAAACATGTATACAGCTGGAGGTCGAACTACAATATCGCGTGAAGTCCTCAGTGTTATTATGCTACAGGGCGAACCGTCTCTGAAAGCGTGCGCGCAACAAACAGATCTACAGCGGCAACTATCTAGAGGACTACTACCTCCGCACGCGCTTCGCATGGATAACCTGTCTCGACATTGCAATGGCTGGCCTCATGCTCGATAACTGTGCAGCGGTGTCAGCTTCGTGCGGAAGGTACCGATGGAATGAGATATACTCGTGTCAACAAGGCATGCGCCC